TTAAAATTTTGTGATGAAGTTCAAAATAGACCTGATTTGGTCTCTCGCATCTTTAGAGTGTAATTAAAATAGTTGAATTCCAAAAAAGAGGTTTACCACACGCTCATTTCCTAATTATATTGAAATCAGGCTAAAAAATTATTTCTCCCGAAAGGGCAGTTGAAATTGTGAGTGCTGAAATTCCTGATAGTGCGAAGTATCCTTATTTAAACTCCGTTGTTGTCAAACACATAATGCATGGTCCTTGCGGTGTTTTAAATCCAAATAATGTATATATGAAAATGGTGAAAAATGTAGAAGCCGTTATCCGCATGACCATATTTCACATACTTCTTTTGATGAAACTTCATATCCAAAATATAGTAGGCGAAATGATGGTAAGAAAGTTAAGATTAGAAAGCATTTTTTTGATAATAGATGGGTTATACCTTATAATCCTTATTTCTTAGCTAAATATGACTGTCATATGAATGTAGAAATATGTTCAACAATAAAAGCTATTAAATACTTGTACAAATATGTTTACAAAAGACATGACAAGGATAGTTTTTTTTTTAGTGCATTTCTTTATGCGTTTGATTTTCTAAGTTTACAAATTCTCTCTCTCTCTCTCTCTCTCTTTTGTAAATATGCAGAGCATGGATAAGCTTCTCGACCTCTCACCATCAACGCTAGGGAAGAAAGACGATATTATTGGCATTGATGCTCGTAAGGTAGCTTGATTTCTTAAAAAAAATAAAAATACATGGAGAACGTCTCTATCCATTGTGTGTGCATTATAAATTATCTTTACATAGATAGAAGCTCGAGATGGCAACTTTTGTGATGAAGTTATGTATTGTTCAATTTATGCTTCTGAAGAAGCTAAATGCTAAAGTGTCTTGGTGCTTTACGATTTTCCTCCCATTCCATTCCCTTCCCATTCCAACACTCCCCTCACCACCCCCACCCTGCAGGATAATAACAGATTCTATAAATTAAATCCTGTTTCTAATTTTTCTTAATTGATAAAAATTCTAATCTCGATTTAGAATGTTTTTTTTTTTGTTTTTGGGAGATGTAACTCATAATTGATGTAAAGTTGCAATATGAAGCATAAACAGTTCACACTCTCCATGAATATCTACTGAATCTCTTTTTTAACCTATTTTCTTGGTCTGTCAACTCATCTCAAATAGCATATGCGGAATAATTCAGAGCTAGAAGATGTTCCATATAAAGGACAACC